TCTATGGCTAGCTGTCTCTTTGATTTTCTCTCAAATTTTCTTTCACCACATTAAACTCCCACTAATTTGTTTTGTTTGTTTGATTTTCACTTGTTAGTTGTTTTTTGAGCTGAATTTTCTTTAGCATTTGAAATTTTCCTGAAAACATTAAACTCTCACTACTTTAGATAAGTTGCTTAATTTTCACTGATTAGTTGTCTCACTGGGTGTAATTTTTCCTTTGAGATGAATTTTCTCTGGCACTAAGATATTCCTTTTAGATTAATTTTCTCTAAACACATTGGGCTCTCTTTCTCTTTGTATCTTTGCTTGATTTTCTTTAGCTAGTTGTTTCTCGAATTTTTTCTCAAATTTTCTCTCAAATTTTCTTTAGCATTTGAATTTTCTCTATCTACATTAAACTCCCACTAATTTATGTTGCTTGTTTGATTTTACTAGATTTCTAACTTTGAATTTTATTTTGGATTTTTTGGGATGTGTAGGGTCTGTTTGGTAACGTTTATGTTTTCAGTTTATATTTACAAAAATTTTATAAATTGATTTTTGTTTATTTTTTATTTATTTTTAGAAAAACATAAACTACAAACACGTTTGGTAATTGACAAAATATTTTAAAAAATTTAAAAATATAAAAAAGAGTGAGAAATGGCAAGTGGTGGCAAGTGGCGGCAAGTGGCGGCGAAAGACGGTGGTGGAAAGTGGTGACGGTGGGTGGTGGGTAGCTGGTGGTGGCGGGTGGGTGGTAGTGGTAGTGGCGGTTGGGTGGGTGACGGTGGTGGGTGATAGCGAGTGGGTGGTGGTGGTGGTGGTAGCCTTTAAAGATGAATCTTTGCCTCTATGGATGTGTTGTTATATTTTTGTGTGACAAATCAATGAATGATTTAATGTATAATGAAGAAGGTCATGGAACATATTTGTACTTGTTATGTAAATGGAATTTTAAAATGATAGAAAAGTGACATTGCAATTTAATTTAAGGTATAGAAATTAATTGTTTTAATGAGAGTAAAAAATCAATGTAAAATTTTAGTGAAAGTGTAATTAACCCTTACAATTTTGTTTGTTGATCTTTCATTGTGTTTGCTATTGGAATTTATGTTCATTTAATTTATTCAGTTATAGAACATGTTATATAATTATAATATTTATTTATACATACTACTAATTGGGTTTTTGATAATATTTATCTCCCTATAAACAACTGCTTTGAGGTGAAAAATAATTGATATAATAATATCTTTGTTTGTTGGAGAGGAGTTTGACATGCTACAATTTTATTTATTTATATAATTTAAGGTACCTTGTCCAACATAATTGAACCTGTAACGATCTAGAATTTCTTCCTCCGCTCGAGCGGGGAAGTTGACGGCCGAGCGGACTTGAGAGGTTCTCAGTATTTTTGCAGATGGTCGGTGGGTGGTGGTGGTGAAAGGGTAGGTGGCGAGGGGTGGGTGGTGGTAGGTGGGTGGTAGCTGGTGGTGGCAGGTGGGTGGTGAGTGGTGGTGGCAGGTGGTGATGGTGGTGGGGGGTGGGTGATGGGTGGTGGTGGTGGAAGACGGTGATGGAAAATGGTGGCGGGTGGTGGCTAGTATTGGGTGGTAAAAAAAAAAAAACTGAAAACTCAAAATGAAAACACATTTTTTGTGTTTTCATTTTTTGGCCAAATTTATAAACTGAGATCACTGATTTATAAATCAAAAATTTTACCAAACAAGTTTTTATTTGAGTTTTTTAAATTTTTGTAAATATAAACAGAAAACTGAAAACGTAAGTGTTACCAAACGGCACCGTAGTGTTTGCTATTTTTTAAATTGCAATTAGATTTTGTATTTTAAGTTCTTTGATGAACTTAACATGGTATTTTCTTATAAAATTACAGAAAAATTGCTTTGTGAGTAGCTCAATTTTTTTTTTAAATTTTATCTAGTTTGTTCAAAACACAGAAAAATTGTGAGTAAATCAAACAAAATTGGTCAAAACATAAAGAAATTTGAGAGCAAATCAGAGAAATTTAGATTTATCTATTTTTTGAAATTTCTCTATAAAAAATTAAGGAACCCTAACTATTATGAAAATATTTTATGTCCTTTATGTTATAAAATCTTAATAGAAGGGACTTTAAAAAAATTTCCCATTTTTAAATTAAAAGTATATTTTAAAATCCTTTAAAGATCAAAAATAGAAGTGACAAATTTTAGAAAAAACATGCTAAATTTTTTTAAAAAAAATACTACACAAATATTTAGCTAAATACCAAACCAATCTGAATTTTCTTTTATAAATAATTTAAAAAATTAAATTATTTATGATAATACCTAAACTCTCAAACTATTTATGACATTAATTGATATTTTAAATTGTAAGTTGAAAATACGAATTCATCATAGCGTGTTCAATGTATATAATACGGTTATGTCAGTATAGAAATTTATCTTTAAAATATTGTTTTATTATGAAATCATATTTTCAACAATGCAATTTCATTTTATACTTATGTTTTTAAAAAGACCATTAATTTAAATAGTTTGAAAATGATTTACTTAAACAAACACTTTAATTTTTAGGTTCGGTTTTGGTCCAGTCTAAAATCGAATTAAGTGGTGTTATTGAATTTGTGAAAATTCATCACGGATCCTATTTTGATAATTCGAACCGTTGAATATGTAAAACTCGTTGAGTACTATATGCTTGTAAAAAATCACTTTAATTGGATATCGATAGCAATATGATCAAATTAATTTTGTATAAAACAAATGGACGGTGAATAAATTACTGGTTAACAAAAAACTGTTTTGATCACATAATTATCGATATCCGATCAACGTGATTTTTTATAAGCATATAATACTCAACTATTTTTACACATTGAGCAGTTCGTATTATCAAAACGGGACCTATGATAAACCTTCATAGGCCTAATAGTACTATCTATTTCGACAGACTATCACGTTGATCGGATATCGATAATTATGTGATCAAAACAGTTTTTTGTTAACCAGTAATTTATTCACCGTCCATTTGTTTTATACAAAATTAATTTGATCATATTGCTATCGATATCCAATTAAAGTGATTTTTTACAAGCATATAGTACTCAACGAGTTTTACATATTCAACGGTTCGAATTATCAAAATAGGATCCGTGATGAATTTTCACAAATTCAATAACACCACTTAATTCGATTTTAGACTGGACCAAAACCGAACCTAAAAATTAAAGTGTTTGTTTAAGTAAATCATTTTCAAACTATTTAAATTAATGGACTTTTTAAAAACATAAGTATAAAATGAAGTTGAAAATATGATTTCATAATAAAACAATATTTTAAAGATAAATTTTTATATTGACATAACCGTATTATATACATTGAACACGCTATGATGAAATCGTACTTTCAACTTACAACTTAAATTATCAATTAATGTCATAAATAGTTTGAAAATGTAGGTATTATCATAAATAGTTTAATTTTTTAGATTATTTATAAAAGAAAATTCAGATTGGTTTGGCATTTAACGTATTTAGCTAAATGAAAATTGTTTGAGGGCCCGAAATCAGTGGCTCAAAAGTTGGCTCGAAACCCAAAACGACGTCGTTTTGGGTTTCGAGCCAACTTTTGAGCCACTGATTTCGGGCCCTCAAACAATTTTCATTTAGCTAAATACGTTAAATGCCAAACCAATCTGAATTTTCTTTTATAAATAATCTAAAAAATTAAACTATTTATGATAATACCTACATTTTCAAACTATTTATGACATTAATTGATAATTTAAGTTGTAAGTTGAAAGTACGATTTCATCATAGCGTGTTCAATGTATATAATACGGTTATGTCAATATAAAAATTTATCTTTAAAATATTGTTTTATTATGAAATCATATTTTCAACTTCATTTTATACTTATGTTTTTAAAAAGTCCATTAATTTAAATAGTTTGAAAATGATTTACTTAAACAAACACTTTGCCTGCATTTGGTTGTGTTTTGTAAATGTGATTTGAGAGTATGAGTTGTATTTTGAGTTTGTGTGTTGTAGAATTATGATTTGAGTGTAGAAAATTTGTTTGGTACAGAGTTTTGAAAATAGTTTTGATTTGAGTGGGGAATTGTTGATGTGATATTTGATATGTGATACAAAAATTTACAACTCATAACTAAACATACAACTCAAAATTATTTTAAAGCACATTAAAAATTTTAAAAATTTCAGAAAATATTTTTTCCAATTATATAAATCAATTGCAAAAAAAAAATAAAATAAAATAAACCGTACAGCGGAGGACATCTGGGTGGATGTCCCTAAGGACGTCCGGGCGGATGACCCAGAGGACATCCGGGCGGTCTTCCCTTGGGCAAAATTTTCACAAAAATAGTGGCTGATGCACAGAGCTCTCTGCAAAGCTCGTGAAAATTGATTTCAAAACAACAACCAAACATCATACTCAAACGCACGTGTAGAAACACGTTTACAAATCATAACCAAGCAGAGCCTTTAATTTTTAGGATCGGCTTTAGTTCAGTCTAAGATCGGATTAAATGATACTGTTGAGTTCGTGAAAAGCCATCACGGATCTTATTTTGATAATTCGAATCGTTCAATATGTAAAATTCGTCGAGTACTATATACTTGTAAAAAATCACTTTAATTGGATATCGATAGCAATATGATCAAATCAATTTTGTATAAAAATAAATGGACGGTGAATAAATTAATGGTTGACAAAAACTGTTTTAATCACATAACTATCGATATCCGATTAACGTAATTTTTTATAGGCATATAATACTCAACCATTTCTACACATTGAACAGTTCGTATTATCAAAACGGAACCTATGATAAACCCCCATAGGCCTAACAGTACTATCTATTTCGATCTCAGACTGGACCAAAGCCTGATCCTTAAATTTTTAGAATTTAAAAATAAAAAAAACAAAAAAAAAACAACGAACGGCCTGTGACGTATATATTAGGATAGATTTTGATTCTAATAAACCCACTTCTTACGCACAGCCTATATGCTTTCTCTCCTCGTTTGATTCTCTCTCTACTTTTGCCTTCTTAACAACACACAGTACCCCCTTCTTTCTGACATAAACTCACTAGCTCTCTCTCTCTCTCTCTCTCCGTGTTTTGTTGTGTTGTGTTGTGTTGTGTTGTGTTGGGTTCGTGCTCGTCTGATTTCACACTAGACAGTCAATCAAAGGTCAAGTCGCGATCAACACCACCGTGATCGCCGCCATGGAGGGCGGCGACGGTGGAGCCTCTATAGCATTGTCGATTTCCGAGCAGTTTTCGACTCTCTCGGTGGGTTCTGGTGAAGAATCGAGTGGGGATGATCAGAACACGGAGAAAGACCCAAGAAAAATAGCCAGAAGGTATGGGATTCTTTTCTTTTTTTTTTTGGGTTCATGCAATTACATTTTGTTTTGTGGGTTTTGCTTTTGTCTGCTTGGATGCTGAGAAAATGTAGGAAAAACGAAAGAAAATAGAGTCTCACATTGACAGTTTCTGGGTCTTGTTTTTTTTTTTTTTTGGGTTCTCTGAGATCATTGAATTTACCCTGAAAAATAAAAGGAAAGTAGAATTTTGAGTTATATCATGAAATGACAACACCGGGTTTGGATGTCTTTCATTTGCTTTTCGTTTGTGGGTTTTCTCTGATTCTTACTTTTGCTTTTTTATTGTGTTTTAAATTTTATCCTCTTGTTGGTTGCTGAGAAAATTGAGCACAAGGAAAAGAAAACACATAGTAAGGAAAAACAGAACACTCAAAAGAAAAACATTTTAATATTCTGTGTTCCCTTTGATTTTTATCTTCTCAATAACAGTAAAATTGGAGCAATGTCAATCAGTAGCACTAATTAAACTTATGTTATTGTTGTTTTTATTGGTAGGTAAATGGTGTTAGTTTTTGGGCCTCTCGTGTCTCTTAGCCCGTGTTTGGATCATATATTTGGATAGCAATTCGGAAAGGGAGAGGAAAAGGCGAGGCAAGTGGATAAAAAATTTAACTTAAATTTTATTCACATTTTCCTTGCCTTCTCATTGTTCTTTCCAAATCCCTACCTAATTTGATGATCCAAAAACAACCTTAAGATGCCAAAATCTAAACTGGAACTGAGTCAAGTAATTGTATAATGTTTGAGTGATCATTGTCTTTTTTTTAGGTCTCACAAGATGATCGATCTAATAGTTGTGAGCAAAGAACAAATGTTACTACGTTTCTTTTGATTTTTTTTTTAATTTTTTATCTCAGGTATCAAATCGATCTTTGCCAGAAAGCTTTGGAGGAGAACATTATTGTGTATCTGGAAACAGGATGCGGAAAGACTCACATTGCTGTGCTGCTTATGTACGAGATGCGTCACTTGATAAAGAAACCCCAGAAGAACATTTGTGTGTTTCTTGCTCCAACAGTGGCACTGGTTCAACAGGTAATTCTTGAGTGGCAAATTAGTTTTTGTGTTTTTTTTATTTATTTTTATCTATATTTAGTTAGTTCAAAATTTTGATTTCAAGGGCTAGACAACTGCCTATGGTTTTTGCAGCAAGCAAAGGTTATACAAGACTCCACTGGTTTTAAAGTTGGGATGTATTGTGGAAGTTCTAAGCGTTTGAAGTACCATCATGATTGGGAAAAGGAACTGGAAAACTACGAGGTTTGTTATATTTGACTGTATGTTACCTCCTAAAAGTTGTGCAAAAGATACCTCTAAAGTATTTTTTGTTATATTACTGGCATGCCATGATTTAATAAGCTGGATATCTTGTGATGAGTTCCTATATGAAGTTAAAATGTTTGCTAAAATTTTCTTGTTTTCTTTTAAGCCTTACAGGGAACAACTCCCATTTCCTTGTTTTCTTTTAAGCCTTACGGGGAACAACACGAAGAAAGAAAAAACTATAGTTACCAAAAAACTATGTATTTATGTGCTAATTCATACTTATACTTACTGTGCAGGTTTTTGTTATGACCCCTCAGATACTATTGCGTAATTTAAGTCACTGCTTCATCAGGATTGAATCAATTGCTCTTCTGATATTTGATGAGTGCCATTATGCACAACTTGACAGCAATCATCCTTATGCAGAAATCATGAAAGTAATAAGCTACTCGAAGTAGTTTCTTCTTTTGTTTTTTTTTATTTTGTTTCTCTTGCTGTTATTACTTCTTTGTATGCACTTCTTTATACTCACTTTCTCTTGATTGGCTTTGTTTGACATACATATTATGCTGGCAATATTGTAGGTCTTCTACAAAAATGACGTCACAAAAGTTCCCCGTATATTTGGCATGACTGCATCTCCAAAGTTAGGGAAAGGTAATGTATGTGTGTGTTTGTGTGCATACCCACGTCTAAAAACATTTTCACAGTTATAGAATTCTAAACAGGATCAAATATATCCATATATCAGGTCTGCGATGTCTGTACTTAGAAGCTTAGTATGTAATGTAACAGAAAACTTAAGTGGATTTCAATATATACAAGGTGTTTGATGCTGAAAACGCTGAACAAAATCAACTGTGAATAGATAGTTCTTCCCAAATGATATTCAGATGTGTTATTGTGTTTAATCACTCAGAAAGCTATGCTTAAGTATGTATTTCAATGACATGGTTTGTGCTTTGTATCCTTTTAAATTAACCACTTGTTTCTCAAACTATTCTTTCCATTATGTTGATAAACTAATGTCGAAGTAACTAGTAACGTTTGTTCTTCTCATTGATTTTCTAGACTTCATGTTGTTGTTTTTTTACCATTTCAGGTGCTTCCATCAATACTCTTGAAACCTTACTTCGTGCTAAGGTGGGTTGCGGAGGCTTCAAAGAGTTTGGAGCAAACTCTGGGTCAACAAAATTTGTTTTTATTTTACTTTAATTTAAAATTTTTATTTTTTGGAGATATTTTGAATGAAAAGTTATTTCAGTTACTAAAGTTATTTCAGTTATTTTTTGGAGATATTTTGAATGAAAAGTAATAAGCTACCCACCACCACATCAAGCTTTAGCATGGCTTGGTTTCACCCAGAATTTGAGATGTTGATATAAAGATCTAGGTGTCCTTTTTTAATCTCTAAAGTTGATGTACTTGGTTTTCCCTTCATTTTGTAGGTTTATTCTGTTGAGGACAAGGAGGAGTTGGAACAATTTGTGTCATCTCCTATTGTTAATATATATTATTATGGTCCTTCTGTAATCGGCTCATCTTGCCCTCATATGATTTATTACAGCAAACTTGAGGAGATAAAACGCCAGGTTTGTTGTGGTGACATTGTTTGCTTGTAAACTTCATGTTGTTTGAACAGACTTTCACTTTCTTGCTATCTGCATAATGAGCAGTGTGTGTCAACACTGAGTGGGAAGACTGATGATCATGGCAGTCTTAAGAGCATCAAGAAGATGCTCCAGAGAGAGCACAATAATTTGATATTTTCTCTTGAAAATCTTGGCCTTTGGGGAGCATTTCAGGTAATTCAATGTATTCCACTGACTCTTTTAATAACATGATTCGTTTAGATTTATTTTTTATTTTTATATTTTATTATCAGTGCTTGAGAGTTGTTTGGGTGAAGATCACAGGGTTCAAATACAGTGTTTTATTAGGATTCGTTGCACAATAATAAGCCTTTAAATAAAATTAACTTGTTCTAATTTGCCTGAAACACTTGTCAACCTACTTCATAAGAAACAAGAGTGTTAGTTGTAAAAGAAGTTAAATGACATTAAACATGAGTAAAATAGTAATTGAATGGCCAGAAGTACTAAACATGATGAAAATTGATAATGTCACCAACTTTATTTCACATGGCTGAGAAAAAAAAATTATGGTTGCATTTTTTATGCATTGATTGTGTTACCATTTGGGAGGAGTATTTATTAAGATAAGTTTCATAACAAATAATCTTTAAATAAAATTAACTCTTTGTAATCTACCCAAGACACTTTGTCAAACTTTTTTAAGAGCAATTCAACCATCAAGAGTAGTAGTTGTGAAAAAAGTTGAACAACAGTAAACAAGAATAAAATAGTAAACTAGTATCAAAAGCTTAATTTGTTAGGAAATTGGTTCAACAACGTATATCAAACTATCCAACACCCTTGCTCACACGCAACTCTGTTTTGCATGTAGAGATGCGAACAGACATGGAGAGAGAAACAGGTGCAAATAGAGAGGCTTGAACCCAACACACCCCCCAACTTGAGCTCTGTTACCATGTAAAATCACCGATTATCCTCAAAGCTTAAGTTACTAGGAAATGGGTCTAACAATGTATATCAATCTATCGAGCAATTTACAGTACGTCATCTATATAAAAAAAAAGGGATAATTGCACTCATCTATGTCTGGTTGGTGGTTGGGATATGGAGTATTTATTAGGGTACGTTTTGCAATAAATACTCTTTTAGTAAACCTAACTCTTTGTAATCTACGTAAGACACTCATCAAACCTTTATGAGAGCAATTCAACCATCTTTGTAAGAAACAAGAGTAGTAGTTGCAAAAAAAAAGCTGAACATTAAACATTGATAAAATATTAAGACTACTGGCCCCAAAAGCTTAACCTGTTAGGAAATTGGTTCAACAACATAAATCAAACTGTCCAACACGCTCCCTCATGTGCAACTTCATATTTGCACATAGAGATGCAAACAGACATAGTGAGAGAGGCAGAAGTAAACGGAGAGACTTGAACCCAACACAACCCCCAACCTGAGCTTTGTTACCATGTAAAATCACCAATTATCTCAAAGCTTATGGTTAGAAACAGGTTCAACAATGAAAAGCAAGCTAACAAACGATTTACAGGACTTCATCTATCAAAAAATGTGGGATAGTTATACAGACCTCACTGAAGGCTATATTTGGTTTGTGGCTAGGATAAGGCTGGATAAGTTATCCCTAGGAGGGTAATTTTGTCATTTTACAAGGAAATCTCTTGGATATGTTGTCCCACCCCCCATCTCAGACAAAATTATTCAGTATATGGCCTGAGATAAAATGTGAATCAAACGTGGGACTGTTTTATCCGGGGAGCATGCCCTAAAGTTTCTGAAAATTATAGAAGCCTCCCTTGTGGTTCTGAAATTACACCGACCTTCCCTGTTAGAGTTGGTTAACTACCGTTCACAAAAATTGTAATTTTGCCATTTTAATTGTATTTCTATGATAATAATTCCCTTCCTTCTTCCCAATTTATGTATTTAAACACTTTAAACTAATATCAGTAATAGCCACTTCCACCTCTAACCAAATACTAGTGGCCTCTACCTGCAACTCCAACTCTGCCCATCATCACTGGTCACACAAACTCATTTTGAAAATCCCTTAGAGATCCTGAAGGTTTATGGTATAAAGTTGATTAGTTGTCTTCCTTTTAGGCTTCAGTGACAGTACCTTGTAAGGGGACTCCTTTCTTCTTAAGTATTAGGTATTGGATAGTTATTTGTGAGTTGTATTCTTGATTATCTCCTTTTCTTTTGTTTCTTTGGAGGACTTCTTGTCTCCCATTGTAACTTTTATTAGTAAATTTTTGTGTTGCTCATAAATTAATTATAAAAAAAAAAAAGAAAAGAAAAAAAGAAGAGCAAAACTACCTCATAATTGGGGGGGAATGCTGGAAACAGAAGAAAGGTACTTCGGAAACAAAAGCAAAAAAATATAAAAAGGTAAAAAAGTAAATGACTATTGACTAAGGTAACAACAAAAAATTATTATTTTTTTATTTATTTATTTTTTGATAACTAAGTGTTTGGGCCAGCTTGCATACACCTCAACTAATCCCAGGGTCCTAAAGTTAATGAACAAGTAAATCTTCAGTGGCCCCCTGGGTGACTCGAACTCGAGACCTTGGATCTTATCCTTGAGTCTTTATTGCTCAGTGAACTGATAAAGACAAAAGGTATCAAAGCTTTGCTCCTTTGAGTTGTAAGTGTCACCCACTTGGGCACAATAAATGCACCTGTTATTCCTATGGTGTAGCGTAGGAAAATAAAATGTAGGAGGCTCGTTTAATGTTTGGCACAGCATGGCGTTTTTCATCACACCTCAGCTCATGTGCTCATCAACAATGCCTTTCAAAACACTCGCAGAAACTGAAAACGGATGGTTGCTTTCCATTATGTTCTAATGCAAAAATAAAATAGAGTTTATCCCATTGTTCTTATAAGTGGGCATTCGAAACATAGAGCTTTATTTTTTCTTCAAGGACAAAATTTCTGTGGTATTTGTTATTAGCTTTATGTTTTCCCCTTATTGCATATATCAGCTCGAGTCTTATATATTGTTGTTCAGTACGTTTTCCCATTTTTCCTATTTCATGTTTGGTAGAGCTGCATTCTCTCTATACATACATACATATACATTGATATGTTGAAGGTCTTCTTTTAGTTAGTTAAAGGTTGTTTTAGAAACAATTGAAAGGTACATTTCTTCTGGATGCTTCTTCCCTAAATCTTCTATACGTCTAGGTATTTTGAATTTTGAGTTATAGTTGCTTGCCACAATGCATCCAATTCTTATATTTTGAGGATATTACCAAAATTTTTTGAGGGGGGTTGCTGGAATATTTTAGCTTACCCTTTTTGCTTTTGTTGAAGGCTTGTCGCATCCATTTGAAGAGTGGTCACTCTGAACGAAACGAAATGATAGAGGCAGGAAATGCTGGTGATGACTCTTTATGTAACAGATATTTTACTCAGGCTGCTTCGCTCTTTGCTTGTGATTGCGTGAAAGGTATTATTATGTTTTAAAAACTTTCTCATGAAAGCCCTATGCTCTTCTTGTTATTAGTTGTTTGCATGCGTATGATTGATGCATATTGAATATAAATGGTTTGTGTGCTTCAAGATTGTGTGATCACCAATTAATGAGTTAGTTTTAATTTTTTTTTTTTAAATGTTCCATGAAAAGTTTGTAGCACAATCAACTATGAAAAAGAAATTTCTTTTCGTTACAACCAGTGATATAAATCCTGCTTCCGCTATTCCTGTAGATGGCAATGAAGCTGATTTATCTGGTGTGGAGGTTTTAAAGGAGCCGCTTCTCTCAAAAAAGCTTTTACGACTTGTTGGAATTCTTTCGAATTTTAGGTTGGTTATTTATTTACTGACACCTTCAATTAAATTGTGAGAACTGCTACAAATAGACACTGCTTTTACTGCATGATTGTATCCTGTGGCTACTCATGCTATGATTTAGCAAGTTACTTGTCTTTTTATGTACTATTGATAAATTATTATTGGTCTCTTAAGATATGTGAATTTATTTATATATACACATATCACTGCTTTATTTCATTTCGATGACAAACCCACTCATTGAACATCATTTACTTCTTTCTCTCTACTCTAGATCAGTGCCATTCCAACCTGCATTTTATTATGTTGATTCCATCGTACCAAACGTGGCCGTATTTAAAAAAGATCAAAATCCTGATAAGTAATAAAAACATAGAAAATAAAAAGCTGCTGGAATGTATCGATTATTTTCCTTGCCTAAACTTGCATTGCACTTTGTTTGCTCCTGCATCACTACGAGTCTACTTCATATAGGTAGCCACACATTGGTGGCTGTTCTTTTGAACGTCAAAGCAAGCTCAGATATTTTCATTTGCTATAAGTCTAAACACAATGATCAACTGCAATTTTGGCATTTGCAAGATGTCTAGATAAAATGCTCAAGCTGAATGTTTGTTTTTCGATACCATTTATTATTATTCTCTGTATTCTCTGGTTGTACATGTCCTGCTAATCCTATAATATTCTCATTTTTGCTGTCCTGCTCAATTTACCATTTTTTAAATCTAATGGAACTTTCTCATTTTATGAAGGTGACGTGTACAGGTTTTTTTCTAATAATTTTTTATGCAATCTCTATTATTAATCTGTTTGAGTGGACCTAAAAATCTCTCTCTCTCTCTTTCTCTCTCCAGGTTACAACCAAATATGAAATGTATAGTTTTTGTGAATAGGATTGTAATTGCGAGAGCCTTGTCATACATACTTCAGAACCTCAAGTTCCTATCATCTTGGAAGTGTGATTTCCTTGTAGGAGTCCACTCTGGACTGAAGAGTATGTCTCGAAAAATTATGAACACCATTCTTGAAAAGTTCCGGTCTGGCGAGGTAATGCTTAATATGTTTTAGGGTGTTTGTTTGTTTGTTTGTTTTTTTTTTTTTTTTTAATGCCATGTATTTTTTTATGTTTTTTTGGTATTTGTTTTTTTTTTTTTTTTTTTTTTTTTTTTTTTTTAATGCCACGAATCTTTTGAAATCATCATCTTCTTCTTCATCTTTTTACTTCCTTTTTCTTTTTTCTTTTTTTCAAGTGATTTTCTACAGTCAATGGATTTTTTGTGATCCAGTTTTCTTTTGGTAAATTCTAGATTGTTCATGAAGAGATCTTGACATACTTTATTCACATTGTCTACATCAAAAAACATGATTGTCTGCAATCACCTTTCTCTTTGATGCTTCTTATATTTGTTGAAAGGAAGAAATGGACATAAAATTACCGAACCACACAGGAACTTCCTTCAAAATTGCAAGTAGAAGTATGGCAATAACTGAACGAGACATGGTTTTTGTTAGTGCATATTTCCAAGTACCTGTTTCATTCATATTATTTGATGACTTTAAGCTGCATTAGTTTAAAGGTTTAGTATATCTGTTGGTGAAAAAGGAAAATATTTTTTGTCTCTCTTTCTCCCAATTATCCTAATGAAACAATTTTTATCATTAGTGTTCTCTTTTTACACCTTTGTTAGATGTTTGTGAAAGAGTCCCTTTGAGGCTGAAATTGGTTTTGTATATTTTAGGAGGAATCAAAACGGATAAAATTTTGAAATAAAATACTTCTGATGCCATGTTGGTTCAATAAGAACAACATTGTGGTACCTCTCTATGTAATTGGCTTTATACAGATTATTTCTAGTGACTGAATTTCACAATCGTGATTTGGCAGCTGAATTTATTAGTTGCGACTAAGGTGGGTGAGGAAGGACTTGATATTCAAACATGTTGCCTTGTCATACGGTTTGATCTTCCAGAAACTGTTGCTAGTTTTATACAGTCTAGAGGTCGTGCACGCATGCCACAATCTGAATATGCATTTTTGGTGGACAGGTGCTTTCTTATAGCACATATTTACCTTATTTGACTCCATTAATTTGGTTTCTTTCTCAAGGATAGACTTTTCATCTTTCACAACAATGCAGAGGCAATGAGAGGGAGCGTAACTTAATTTTGAACTTTAAAAAGGACGAAGACAAAATGAACGAAGAAATAGCGTCCAGAAAATCTAGTGTGACAATTGTTGAATTTGAGGAAAGAACCTATAAAGTAACTTCAACTGGTGCCACCATCAGTTCTGGATCTAGTGTCTCATTACTCCACCATTACTGTTCTAAACTTCCACATGATGAGTATGATCTTTTTCCTTGTTCTCATTCTTATGCTCTTGAGCTCTGTAATAGTGAATTCTTACTGAGGTGTATAAAAAATGTTGGGCCAATTTTGTTGAAGGGGAAATGGACATAAAATTACCTCCTTGTGGTTTACACTGGTTTTTAGCCCGTGACATTTGGAAATAAGCAAATAATTCATGTATTTTATGGACTAAAGTGTTCCGTCTATACCGTTAACAGCTTAAGCAAAAAGATTGAAATACCCTGATACATAAGTAACTTCATTGTGTAAATCACGGGCATTTGTCATTTTTTTGGGACTCAAAATTTACTTTACTCCCTTGTGCTTTACTTAATGTGCAGTTTGCCACCTAACATTTGGATATGAACACATAACCATCTATGTCTAGGCACATGTTTCACACTTGCTGTTAACTTAACACGGAATGTTTCATGGTACACTTTAGTCCACAAACCATAGGGGTTATTTTCAAATGACAGGAAGGAAAACCACACATGCAGTAAATCATAAGAGGGTAAAGTGAAGTTTGCCAGTTCTATGGTTCCAATTTTTTTTTTTCTTTCTTTGCCGTTGACATGGTTTATGTTTTGCAGATATTTCAACCCCAAGCCGGAGTTCTTCTACTTTGATGATGTAGAAGGAACTGTGTGCCACATAATTCTACCTTCCAATGCTCCAATTCATCAAATTGTCAGTTCACCACAATCGTCAACAGAAGCAGCTAAGAAAGATGCCTGTTTGAAAGTGTGCAAAGAATTGCATGAATTGGGTGCCTTGACTGACTATCTCTTGCCGGATCATGATGATGGAAATGAGGAATTGGAGCAAGAATTTTCCGATTCAGACAGCTGTGATGGTTAGGGAACCACCAACAAGATACTAAAATTTCGATGCCTCTTTTCTTCTTTAAGTCATGAGTTTTGATAATTATAATTCTGTTTATTCGCAGATGAACCTTCAAGAAGAGAACTACATGAGATGCTTGTTCCTGAAGCACTTAAAGAACCATGGACAGATCTGGAGAATCCTGTTTGTCTTAACTCTTATTTTATAAAGTTCAGTCCTCAGCCAGCAGATAGGAGTTATAAAAACTTTGGTATTTTTGTGAAAACACCCCTCCCAGGAGAGGCTGATAGAATGAAACTTGATCTCTGTTTGGCTCGTGGCAGATCAGTGATGACAGAGCTTATCCCATCAGGAGTATCAAAATTTGATAAAGATGGGGTAGACGACTCCTTTTCTTTTCTTTTCTTTTCTTTTCTTTACTTTTTTTTTTCCAAATAAAATTTGTTAAATGTATCTAGTAAAATATAGCATTTAATCATGGTTGTTAGAATCTTGCATTTCACGATTCAATTCATACAATTCGATATGAGTTTCAACCAAAATGATTTGATTCGTGTTGTCTTAAATCGAGTGAATCATCAATTAAGTTGCAATTCGCTATGATTCATTGCGATTTAGATCTGTTTGCATGATACACGAAATTTCAACAAAACTTCTGAAAATCCTCTGAAAACAAAATTAAAAAAGAGGAAAAAAAATCAATTAATTATATTGATATATGTATAATGTAGTTATATTGATATTTATTTCATTTTAAACATTGTACTTTTATATGTTATACATGTACAAAATTATATATTATGCTAAATAAAATGAATCTTAAAATTTATAATTCAATACAATTCATGATTCACTATTTTGGCAAAATGATTTGCAATTTGACAACAATGGCCTTGATAGAGCAAAATGATGAAAAAGATTAATGTGGCCGACCCCACCTAATTCAGACATAACGCTTAGTTTGGTTTGATTTAGTGTATCTAATAAAATAAAATAAGAAAAATGCTAAAAACGCTTTTTTTAGTATTGAAAAATGTGTAGAAAATATAAAAAATATGTAAAAGTGTTTTGGGATAGGTGAAATGTATATTAGGATTATAAATATTTTGGCATTATGTGCTTCTTATTGACAACTCTTAGGGCTGTCATTACCAAGACCCGTAAAATAAAATAAAAACAAATGGGAAATGCTATTCGCGCACTACTAAAAATCTCAGTACACATTTCTTATGTTGGGATATAAACTTCTGAACAAAAGTCAAATATTCGGATGTAAACTATTTAACCGGTTGTATATTGGAACAGTTCGTTTGGAAGTTTATGTCCCAACTTTGACTTTTGTTTGGAAATTTATATCAGAGAACCACACAAGTGGCATGTACTGAGATTTTTTGTGTTGTGCATATAGATTACCAAAAATAATTATACAACTTGTCTTTTATTTTATTTGATTATTATATGTATTTTTGTACTTGTGCAGATTCTGCAGGTACAAAAATTTCAAGAAATGTTCCTCAAGGTCATCCTTGACCGATCAGAGTTCATTCCTGAATTTGTTTCTTTAGGGAAAAATGGTTTTAGTAATTTGGGCTCATCTACTTTCTACCTGTTGCTTCCTGTCATTCTCTATGGGAACAAAATGACTGTAGACTGGAAGCTTATCAGAAGATGTTTATCATCGCCAATCTTCAGGAATCCGGAGGATGCTAGAGACAGTGTCCTCCCTCATTTGAACGATCACTTGGAACTTGCTAATGGGCCCCATCACATAGATGATGTCATAAATAGTTTGGTATATGCTCCATGTAAGGATATATTTTTCTTTATTTCTGATGTTGTTCGAGCGAGGAATGGATACAGCGAATTTAAAGGTTCAATGAGTCATATAGAGCACTACAATAAAACGTAAGTAACTTAATTTTGTGCTTCCTTTAATTTGTCAATGTTTCTGTATGTCTTTGTGATCGTCTCTGTGCATGTATTGTTGTCTTTCTTCTTAGAAACAGTATACATTAACAACTTTAAATTTCCACAAATAGTAAGAATTCACTCTAGTATAGTTATGACTACAGTGTACATTAACTCAAGTTCCATCTAGTTTGAGAAGTTAGCTTTGAGAAGTAAGCTCAAGAAGTGATCTATATAACCCCCTATGCAGGTTTCCAACTTTATGTCTTTATCATTCCTAATTCAAAATTGATATGTTGGAACCTTCTAGTTTTATCTTGATTTTGTCTCTCCAAAGATGAGCTCATACTTGTTCTTTGGATACGCCTTTTTGACTTGAGGGATTTGATATCATGTTGATGGCTCTGAGGCGTTTTACTTGTTATTTTTTTTTTATGTTTTAACGTTGCATTCGTATTACACTTTGCGGTATATATTTATGGTTTTAGCTTACACTCGTAGTTCTTTCTTATTAAATATACTTGTACTATGGCTGATTACTAAATTTTTTTATAGCTCATTTAATTGAACTTGCAGCTGAGGTTTGTTTTTGTTTTGAGAAAGTTTGTTGGAAACTAAAAAGATTGAGGAAATTACCAAAAAAAACCAAGGTTTGGCCCTGGTAACAAACCTGATTTGTGCTATTTTTTTGCATGTTAAACCCTACATTTTTAAAAGAGGCACAATCCTAACCATCTATCCATTGCCATTTAAAGACAATAACGGAGGGGCTAATTCTGTCAATTTATCCCCCTTCTTCTACTGTCTTCTACCTTCTGTCTTCTTCCCTCTACCAACAGCATCTCCTCCACCAACCTCACCGCTGCCACCTCCCACCCACAGCTGCCTGTCCCCACCCTCGCCGTTCCCTACCATTCCCTACAACCCCAGCTTGCAACCACTCCACACCCCTTCTCCACCGCGACTGCACCCCACCCACTTCCCTGTCATGCCCATCACCTTTGCGTACAAATTGCAGACTGCAACCACTTCCCACCTTCTCCAGCACTGCAACATGCCCATATCACTGCCGCTCTCTCTCTCTCTATATATATGTATACTATATACAGAGATCTCTAAGTGGCATAAAAAAAGGGTAAAGCAGCAAATCCATCTAATACCATAATAAAGCATCAATCCATATTAATTCCTAGTTAGCCAATCAAACTAAAAAAATCACGCGCTCTCTGGAAGGTCCCATTGATGGTGTAGAAAAGGTAAGGAAAGCTAATGCACAAGAAGATTGTTGCCGTGAGATTCTTTTTTACCTTTATCCTTTGTTGGATGATTGGATCCAGAAAAGAATTTCATTAACTGGGTGCAAAAATGGTTACCTGAGTATGAGATTGGGTCAGAGTTGAATTGATAGGGTTGTTAAGCAATTACCAGATAATGTGAACCTGATAAGGTTTTTTTGCTGGGCCATTTGCAGATGTCTCAAGTTGATTTATTTTCATGACATTGTAATTAACTAGATTTTAATTTCAACCTATGTATTTTATCTAATGCTCATAAATTTTTAGTAACTCAATCCAAACGTAAACTAATTGAAAAATAATATAAGATTGGTTAGTTTACTCAAAGTGGCTCAATGTTTTTAGGGTTAATAAAACTTGCACATACACAAATTGAAATAACTGGAAATTTTAGCTTGTGGCGTTTACCTTAAGTTCTGTGTGTACTACAGGTTTCCTTTTTATGATAATCATTTACACAATTATATATTTGATTGCAAGAGTTTAAAGTGCAAACTACTTAATTATAATAAATGCAAAATGACTTAATTATAATCTGCCCAATTTTACTGTTTTATGTTGTGGCTCTAATAATGTGTCCTATTTGTGTAACATTATGTAATTTATTGATTCAATCCTGTAATATTTTATTGCACTGTTGTTGATGGTCATTTTCTCTTTCTTATTTCATAAATCAGGAATGGCATTCATCTTTCATACCCTGACCAACCTCTTTTAAAAGCAAAACAGCTTTTTTGTTTGGACAATTTACTAAGGAAAGGAGGGAATTCAGGTACTCATAGTTACTTTATTTGTATCTTCATTTCATTATTACTATCGGGACTTGAGTTATCTTTGATTTGGCTATCACACAGTTATTCTTTTTGCTAATGAAGAATTTATTGACAATTTCAGTTGGCGTTCACTTTTCTACTATGCTTAATGAGAAGTACTAATGTACATGATAAATTGTATATTCACTTAAGTTGGATTTATCTCACTTGCTAACCCAAGTTGTGAAGTGAAGATTGATGCTCATTATAGTTGTTTGGATCCTAAAAAGTAAGGGGTTCCTTGGTTAGTGGAAAGTACTTAAAGCATAGAATTTATCTAGGAAATGTTGGGAAGAGGTAGGGAGTATATAATATTTTCATACTAATTGAAGGAATTCATTAGTGCCTATTAGTTATTTTAAATCTCAACTCCAAGGGTTCTAGGGCTGATTAGGCTTTCTCTAGACTTGGGAGTGTGACTTTAAGGTTGAACCAAAATGTGTTTTTTGATGAAGTCGTGGGGTGAGGAATCCAATCTTAAGAGAAATGCAAGGATTGAGACTAATGAATTTATAGATTTTTACTTCACAATTTTTGGGGTTTCACTTTGGAGTTTGTTCCTAGAATGGGTTAGATGCTTGAGCATCGCTCCACTTTGTTAGGAGGCATAATCCATTTCTCTTCCTTGCTGTGGTTGTCTAACATTATTTAGGTTCAAGTCTATTCACATGCATTTGTTCTCCTATTATGCTTGTGGATATGCATTTTTCTTTTTCTATTAAAAAAAAAGTTACCCTCTAAATTGTTGCCCTTATTTGCTTAGAAATCTGTAAATGCAGAATCACGTGAAAAAGAGGAGCACTTTGTTGAATTACCTCCTGAGATTTGTCAACTGAAGGTAGTTGGCTTTTCTAAAGAAATTGGAAGTTCTCTGTCTTTGCTACCATCAATTATTCATCGTTTAGAAAGCTTGCTTGTGGCAATTGAACTGAGGGACAGATTGTCTGCTTCATTCCCTGAGGGTACTGAAGTCACTGCTTATCGTGTAAGACTTTTCTGCTCCTTGTATTAAGTTTGAATGATTTATTTTTATTTTTTTTGTGGTTATGACTAACACCTACATGAAGCAATGAATACTGCTAAAAGGGAGTCGTATCTGTGTCATACCTGTATCATACTGATACTCTGCAGATACTTACGGATACATATATAATACGTCCTAAACATAACCAATACTTGATATTAATTTTGAGAAGTATCGGATACCATTCACACACTCTGGATCACGTGTCCAAATTATTATGAAATTGAAATTGTAATTTTTTTTTTTTTGTTTTTGCATAGTGTTAGAGTATATTTGTTAGAATAATAACAAGATTAGTTTTTCAGTATTTTCTTATTTATTTCTGAAAAAGAAAATTGTGAGATTAAAGTGGTACTCTACTTTTTCAAAATTTATCAAATTAATGTATCCTCTTTCTGAAAAAGAAAATTGTGAGATTAAAGTGGTACTCTACTTTTTCAAAATTTATCAAATTAATGTATCCTCTAAAAATAGAAAGTAAACAAACTATTAATTCTTAAACTAATATCTAATTCCTAAAAAATGGTTTTTCATTATTTTTTGTCATATCTGTGTATCCGTATCCCATATCCTGTATCCTGTATCCTGTATCTTTTCATGCTTCATAGACTAACACTATGCCACTTGTTCTACACACTCGATTCCTTCAAATTTTTTCTGTTACCATCAGTTTATGACAATCAACTTCTTGTGCTGAAAAAGTTAACTATGTATTAGGTACTCGAAGCACTGACAACAGAGAAATGCAATGAACGATTTTCACTTGAAAGGCTTGAAGTGCTCGGTGATGCTTTCCTTAAATTTGCAGTAGGCAGGCACCTCTTTCTATTGTATGATGCCCTTGATGAAGGACAGCTAACAAGAAAGCGTTCTAACATCGTCAATAATTCCAATTTATTCAGGCTAGCAACAGTGAGCAAATTACAGGTAAACTGGTGTAATTTCTGGTTATAATCTGAACTTGCCAAATAATAACATAGCAGTAATGATAGTTTAAAGTTGTGTAAATTACATTTTTACCTGGTTGGGTTGGTTCAGGTCTGAGAAAAATTGACCATCTGTTTGAATGTGATTTAAGGCATCTCTAAACAGTTTATTTTTAAAAATTTAAACACTGATCTGTATGGATGTAGTTGCAGATATGGTTATAGTGTCCTGCATGAATCCAAGGTAATTACATGAAAATGGAAAAATCTAGGCCTTTATATAGGATCTCCTTTTGTATAATTGTTTTGCATTGTTTTCAAATGCAACATTGCTTTTCAAAAAATTTATCATTATAATTGTTTAATATTGTTTCCGTTTTCAGGCATACATTCGTGATCAATCATTTGATCCTGGCCAATTTTTTGCCCTGGGCCGCCCTTGTTTAGTAATATGTAGTAAGGAAACAGAGACTTCTGTACATTCTCCTCAAGAAAGTAGTTCAATAAATGGTGGAAAAGATGAAATTAGATGCAATAGAAACCATCATTGGTTGCATAAGAAAACTATTGCCGATGTGGTTGAAGCTCTAGTTGGAGCATTCATAGTTGACAGTGGCTTCAAGGCAGCTAGTGCATTTCTCAAATGGATTGGCATACAAGTGGACTTTGAGGCTTCACAAGTTAGTAACATATGCTCGGCAAGCACAATCTTCAAGCCACTTTCTGCTCAAATCGACATTACGGCCCTCGAAAATTTGTTAGGATATCAATTCCTCCATAAAGGTTTGCTCATACAAGCTTTTGTTCATCCTTCGTACAACAATCATCTGGGAGGTTGCTATCAGGTATGCACTTAGTTTTCTCTCTGCCCCTGAACTTGAGCTTGTATTCTAGGCTACGTTACATGGACTCTTCAAAATAAATCAAATACTCATTTCGAACACCGGACACTTGTACGAGGGTGTGGGATGTGTCCAATGCTTTCCATCAGACACTTCTTATATATTTGTATTTAACACTATAATTATATGTATATATTGTTGTATAATTGCTATAGAATGAGGAAAACGTCTTTTTGACACTATATGTTGCATATAACACTATTTTATCTCACATGTTAGATTAAAAATACAAAAATATGGCTCTTTTTGTAGAGTCCGAATACCCTTAAATTTGAGATTTGATGGGTTTAACCTCTAGATACACACCCACACCCAGTCCATGTAACATAGATTCTAGGTCAAATACAAATGTTGTAACACTTTGATGCTTTTGACCAGAGACTGGAGTTTCTCGGAGACGCTTTACTGGATTATTTAATCACATCATATCTGTATTCGGTTTATCCAAAACTCAAGCCTGGTCAGTTAACAGATTTGAGATCTTTCTCAGTAAACAATAACTCCTTCGCTGACATTGCCGTGCATCGCTCCTTCCATAAATTTATAATCTGTGATTCAAGTAGCCTTTGTGCGTCTATGAACAAATACGTCGACTTCATTAGAACAACTGCTTCAGAGAATGGTATTGTTGAAAGGCCAAGTTGTCCAAAGGTAGTCACTGTAAACCTTTACCCTTGTCTATTTAACGTTGTGCTTTATTAAGATGTTAAACATGTGAATTTTAACTGTTGAAGACAATTTAAGTTTCTGTTGCCAATATACATGTCCAAATCCAATGTGTAATATCAATACCAAAGTCAATCTAAAAAATATATATGTAAATTTTCAGAATTGGGAAATATCATTAAAAATGGGCAAAACTTTAAAACAGGATGCATGTATATAGAAAATTGAGATCAAGAACACGAATTCACAATTGGCGTGGATGTCCATCGTAGATGGCATCCTTGTAGCAAGTAAAATATACTCACTAGTGAAGCATGTACCTTAGTAGATATGTTTGATGAAATACAATATTGAAATATAGTAAGATTTATGCTCACTAGCTTGAACAAATGCTCAACTTTCAAAATTTCTTGTGAATGAAATCATGACTTTTTTTTTTGTAAAATTTTAGCTCATTGATTTTTGCTATGGCCGTAGTTTATCCTAATTAATAGAAAGTAAAATTGAGGAAGGGGACTGGTATTAAATTTGGAGTCATTGCAAATTGAAATTGTAGAATATTCAAGCTAAAACTTTTGACCGAAGACTACATTTTGTGGTGTTGGTCCCCACTAATCAATAGTTTTGAGAAGGGTAAATATTGGAAACAAATATTGTGTATCTTATAATATCAAAACCTAAAAATGTGTTTTGAAGGAAAAATCAAATTCTTCCAGTCGTTGCAGACTAAGTTCTTAGTTGTTGGGATTGAGAATAATTTCTTTACTTATATTTCCAGTTGTGGAAGGTGATTGTGTTGTGACAAGATCTTTATACTCTCATCAATTTGTTATGGTCTGTGGGAAAGAATGCATAGTTTTGATTGGTTTGATTTTGGGAAGTCATGAAATATTTCATTATATACTAAATCCATGGGATTCTGAACAATTTCACTTGGTTGATTCAGGCTTTAGGTGATCTGGTAGAGTCTTGTGTTGGCGCCATTCTTCTTGACACAGGCTTTGACTTGAACCGTGTTTGGAAGATAATGCTCTCTTTTATGGATCCAGTCATGAGCTTTTCCAAGTTGCAGCTTAATCCTATAAGGGAGCTTCAGGAACTTTGCCAGTTTCAAAATTGGGACTTGGAGTTCCCAACATTGAAAAAGGATGGATTATTTTTAGTTGAAGTGAAAGTGGAAGGTAAAAAAGTTTGTGCAGCTGCTTGTGCTACCAACCTCAATAGAAAAGCTGCTAGAAGAATGGCTGCACAGCAAGTGTGTGAAAAATTGAAGGTAAAAATTATTTTATACTTAACTGCTGTGTACAAACGTGGTCCTTCTAATCACATTCATGTTTGAAGTTGGAATGGTTGTTAGGAAACGGGTCCAACAATGTATATCAAGTTATTTGGCACTCTCTCCTGCATGTGCTACCCTATCTGTTTGTGGTTCAAATGATTTGAACCCAAGCCCTCTCCCACCCTTGAGCTTTGGTAATATGTTAGATCTTAGTTGCACGAAGATTGCTATAGAACGAGGAAAACGTCTTTTTGACACTATATGTTGCATATAACACTATTTTATCTCACATGTTAGATTAAAAATACAAAAATATGGCTCTTTTTGTAGAGTCCGAATACCCTTAAATTTGAGATTTGATGGGTTTAACCTCTAGATACACACCCACACCCAGTCCATGTAACATAGATTCTAGGTCAAATACAAATGTTGTAACACTTTGATGCTTTTGACCAGAGACTGGAGTTTCTCGGAGACGCTTTACTGGATTATTTAATCACATCATATCTGTATTCGGTTTATCCAAAACTCAAGCCTGGTCAGTTAACAGATTTGAGATCTTTCTCAGTAAACAATAACTCCTTCGCTGACATTGCCGTGCATCGCTCCTTCCATAAATTTATAATCTGTGATTCAAGTAGCCTTTGTGCGTCTATGAATAAATACGTCGACTTCATTAGAACAACTGCTTCAGAGAAGGGTTTTGTTGAAGGGCCAAGATACGAAAACCAAAAAAGTCAATTTTTAAAAAAACTTAATTCAAAAAACTCAAACCAAACATACTAAATATTTTTTTTCATTAAAATAAAAAAGAAACAAATAAATTTCAATCTTAGTACTCCAAAAAAAAATTTTTTTTTTTAAAAAAAAAATTAAAAAAAAAAAAAAAAAACAAAAGAAAGAGAGAAGAGAGACTCAAACAGAGGCGAGAGAGGAGAGAGAGAGAAGAGGAGGAGGCGATCGAGAGAGAGGAAAAGTAGATTGAGAGAGGAGACGAGATCGATCGATGGAGAGAGGAGACAAGATCAATCGATCTAGAGAAGACGAGTCATGAGATCGAGAGAAGAGGGACAAACAGATCGAGAGGAAGAGAAGAAGACAGATCCGCGACCAGATTCGCGTTTCTCTAGCGTCAAACTCGTGATTCTTCTACGAATCTGAGTCAGAAGCACAGAATCGCGCTTTTGAGGAAGAATCGTGAGCAAGTTGAACGATTCCTGCCACTAACTGTTAGATCACTAATTATCACAAAAGCTTAAGTTAGGAAATGCGTCCAATTATCTCAAAAACTTGTGCGGCTAGGAAATGGGGCTAACAATATATATGATGAAGATCGTGGAAAGAAGAAAGAGAGCAAATCTGGAATTTTACATGAAACACATTAGGGCATCTAGAATTAAAGATTTGGAATAATTTTGAGTCTTCATGTCATTATAGTAGGTTTTGGTAAGGGTATAATGGTAATTCTAATAATTGTTGGACATGGGTTGTAGGGGTCACCCGTGGGTTTTATTTTGGGTCAAATTACTAAATGGATTATTATGTATGAGTTTTATTATGTCTAAAATAATCTTAGTGGTCAAAAGTTCAAGTTTACTGTTTTGATATTGAGGTAAAATAAGAAGTCATTAAAGTTTCCTATTATGATTGAAGTAGAATTGGAAGTCATAGTTGGTTTAGAATATTAGTAGTTGCTAAATATTTTTAGTTTCTAAATTTGAGTTATAGTCTTGGTAGAATTAGAATAGTTATTGGCCTATAAATATTTGTGTAATTTTAATGATTCAAGGAGAGTTAATATTATGAAAATTTGAGATTGTGTTTGTGTGATTGGCCTATCCCTTGTGAGGGTAAAGCATTTATCTTTCTCTCTCTCTTTTTTCTTCTTCTTCTATCCAACAAGGTTACTGTTCATGTCACTGTTCACCGTGCTTAGAACAACCACCCAACTGTTCCTAAACACTTGTGTTTGCATTCCCAAAACCCTACCTTTTTACAAACCCTTAAATTCCTATTTTTTAAATACTTTTATAGCCACAAAATCCCACAAAATCCAGCCCTATAAGTCTGTTGTTGCTGCTACCAATAAACTTAACCTGGGCTCACTGCATGTAGGAAAGTAATCCCTGCTCATCCTACATCAATATATCAATTTATCCAACACTCTCTCACGTGCAACCCCGTCTCACAAAGAGATAATAGAAAGAAGTAGAATGCAAATAGGGTTCAAATGCAAACGAAAAGACTTGAACCAAGACTTTCTCCAACTTGAACTCTAATACCATGTTAGGTCACTGATTCTCCCAAAAACTTAAAGCTGATAGAAAATGGGCTCATCAATATATATCAAGCTATTCAACACTATGGAATACTTATGGAATATGAACTTTTTCAGATGCTCACTGACTCTGGATGTACAGGCTGAAGGTTACAAACCCAAGTATAAATCATTGGAAGAAGTTCTGAAGTCAAGCCGCAAGATGGAAGCCAAGTTAATTGGATACGATGAAGCACCAATTGATGTTACTGCTCCGGATGCTATTCCATTCGGTAACTTGAAGTTGCAAGAATCTTCCAGAAGTCAGTATAACGTTAAAGTGGACCACCTTGATGAAGAGCCTAAAAAGATTTTCCCAGTCAGTATCAGACCTATAAGACCACCCCAACCTCGGCTTGAGGCACAGAAACCACAATCGACTGCAACCATCGAAAACAATAGCTGCAATTCAGACCCACTGGCAACAGGTATTGTTTGGAAAGAAATTTATGTGCTTTTATGGTGTTTGTGTTGCATTCTTTGACCGTTGGGTAATTTCTAGGTGGCTCATCTAAGAAATCAGCAAGGTCATGGTTGTATGAAATTTGTGCGGCTAACTGTTGGAAACCTCCATCTTTTGAATGTTGCAACGAGACAGGACCACATCACTTGAAAGAGTAAGTTCATAGTCTTGAAATACTCCTAATTTTAAAGAAATAATTGTTGTAGTTAAATCTCTTCAAATATGCAATACCTTCACCATGACTTATTTGCCATTCGAAAACAATTTAGCAATAATGTCAACTTAGGGTTGACATTACCATTCTTAGTATTCTTATATTAGGGTTGCCAATAATGTCCTCATGAAAACAATTAGGTCCACATTTCAGGGCGGTGTAAAGGCAGTTTTGGTGGCTGAAAATGAAATACAGTGTGCTGAATTTGCATGAAATTCTCTCCATAGACTCCGTTTCATGTGTTTAAAAATGTTTGGCTTCAGGTTCAGTTTGGCAAAGGCTTTCTAAATTGTCTTTAATGGAATTTTTTTTAGTTTTTTTTAGTTTCTTCCCTTCCACTAGAAGAATCTAATATAATATATGTTGAAAGTCAAAAAATAGAAGTTCGCAACCCAACTTTTTTTTTTCGTTCGTCTTTGGTGAACTTTTTTTATTTTTATGTTTTATCCACTAAAGAAAATCAACAAAAAAGTTGCTAAAAACCCAATTACAAAACCAGAGCTCAATCTAGAAATTTCACTGTAATCGCCTTTGCATCACGTTAGCTAATAGGAACAAGTCTTTTTTTTTTTGTTTTTTGGGTGCTTTCAAATACTCTTGAGTGATTTTAGCCAAGTTGCTCCAACGAATGTCTAAATTTTTGTAACATTATTTCTTCATGAAATCACCAATGATGTTCCATCACTAATTCTCTGTTTTGCCCTTCATGTTGAACCTGAATCTGTTTTGCAGATTCACTTTCAAGGTGTCTGTGAAAATTGAAGAAGCCTCGGATGTGCTTACAGCTTTTGGAGCACCTCATTCCAGAAAGAAAGACGCAGCAGAGCATGCAGCCAAAGGGGCAATTTGGTACCTAAAGAATGCCGGATATGTGCATGAGTAAAACAGAGGTTAATTTCTAACCTTTCTTGAGTTAGAGTGAAAGAACCATTTGCCCATCCATATGTACGTATAGTTATTTACAAGCAGCTAACCATTGACTTAACTCTCAAATAGCAAAGACTAACTTTCTATGGATATGATAACTGTAACCAGCTGCTACTTATGTGGCCAATGCCCCGAAGGGAAGGCATGGGTGATCGATCGCCCATTATCGTGTATATAACTGAAGTGTGTGATGAGATATGAATATATGTAGAAATCGTTCAAGTCGATTCGCAAAAAACATCTGAGCAGATGATTTGAGACTCCTCGGTTGTTTGACAGATGATTGGAAGAAACAAGGTGGTTGTTTGCCATGGTCTCCTACCCCATGTATCTCAGTAAGATGATCTCTCAAATACAAGGGCATTTTTTTTTTATTTGTTTCCTGAGATTATGCCATAGCAGCAAAGAGTTGAGTTCATCAAAGGCATTCAAACAAACCAAAAATTAATTACAACACAATCAGTTCATTGCCACCTTTTTTATTTTATTTTAATTGGATTGAGAGGCAATCTTGCAATCTCTCACCCCGACCTTTTTCACTTTTTATTTTATTTTTATTTTTTACTTTTGTATATTGATTCTCTTGACTTTAAACCAACCACGAGATTGATTTTGATGACACTTGTCATCGTGTTGTGTCACCAGAAAAATCACACATGTCCTATGCAAATTAAAGAATTTTAATTTGAAGGATTAAAGTGAAATTTTCATGAAAGTTGGCGAATGAAAAGCTTAATTGACCCATCCCTTAAAGTTGTGATATACATATCCAACAAATGAATAATGTTATACATAAATAAATTTTTTATTATATTGCCTTATAGTTAGACATTTTTTTAATAAAAATACTCAAAATGGGCCACGCTACCTCCGAACTGACCAAAGAAACCAGCTCAGCCGGAACATCCTCAATCCACACCATCATGCCTGAAAGACGCCCAGCCAATACATACGCAACCGAATTGGCCACCCTAGGAACATGAGAGAAGCAATGCCAAAGCCCAACTGTGAGAGGTGCCTTGTAGATTATGACCAGACTGAGAAAGTCGAAAATCATTCTTAATAAGAGCCCTCACAGTAGTCAATGAATCGCCTTCAAAATGAACCTCCCGAAGGCCCAACTCAAAGCAAACTCCACTGCCCTTGCAGCTGCATTGCATAGGCCTCAGCACAATCCGCCTCCACCCAACTTTGAACCTTTTCAGATAAAGATGCAATCACTGCTCCCTTATGATCACGAACAACCCCAAATGCCCTTTGCTCCCCAAACACTGCCCCATCAAAATTGAGCTTATAAATTACCTTCTGCTGGGGCCTTCCATCTAGCTCGATGATGAAATATCGCATTGGCCGCTCACCACCTACCCGTTGCTAAAGATTGCCTGGTTGCGTGCTGACCACAAACCCCAACAAAATGCTACAAATAGACCCAACCCAAACCAGCTTCATCAACTAATCTTTCCACTTTCCCAAACCATTGGCAAAAATCAGAGCAACCACCAGATTGTATACCCACACTGAGAGGACTCATCTGCCACACTTGTTGAGCTAATGGGCATTCTCGAAAACAATGCATAAACCTTTATTTTATTTGGGAATTTAAGCTGCCATACTGTTAGGAATGGCAACGGGTGGGTGCTTTCAAATACTCTTGAGTGATTTTAGCCAAGTTGCTCCAACGAATGTCTAAATTTTTGTAACATTATTTCTTCATGAAATCACCAATGATGTTCCATCACTAATTCTCTGTTTTGCCCTTCATGTTGAACCTGAATCTGTTTTGCAGATTCACTTTCAAGGTGTCTGTGAAAATTGAAGAAGCCTCGGATGTGCTTACAGCTTTTGGAGCACCTCATTCCAGAAAGAAAGACGCAGCAGAGCATGCAGCCAAAGGGGCAATTTGGTACCTAAAGAATGCCGGATATGTGCATGAGTAAAACAAAGGTTAATTTCTAACCTTTCTTGAGTTAGAGTGAAAGAACCATTTGCCCATCCATATGTACGTATAGTTATTTACAAGCAGGTAACCATTGACTTAACTCTTAAATAGCAAAGACTAACTTTCTATGGATATGATAACTGTAAAAACTGCTACTTATGTGGCTGATGCCCCGAAGGGAAGGCATGGGTGATCGATCGCCCATTATCGTGTATATAACTGAAGTGTGTGATGAGATATGAATATATGTAGAAATCGTTCAAGTCGATTCGCAGGAACCATTGCATTGACTATATTGCTACTAGCCAACACACACACCAAAAAGTCTAAAAAAGAAATAATTACTATTACTAACCGGGTAAAAATGCATATTTTTTTTAACTAGGCCGAATATCAACCTAAACAAAATGAATGCAAAATTTTCACGCAATTAGTACAAATAATTAGTAACTGAATGTTGAGGTAACAAATTCAGTCAGTGAAAATTTCTATTCAATAATGAAAAACTGAATTATCAATTCATCACTGAACAGCACAAAACCTAGCCCCTGCACCTCTGGCAAAAGAAAACAGGACCAAAAAACAAAAAAAAAAAAGAACTACATATAATTACCATGTATGGTCATAATGTGCATTGAACCGTCTACAAAAAGATTTCAACCCACGTGACAAAATGCTTCTACGACGCAATAACAACATACTTGAATATTTGCAAAAAATTACACAACCGTGTTAAGTGAAAATACAACCTTGACATGCTAGTCTCAGCCAGTTCAATCAAGTTTCCTAGCATGGTGACCACATGTGGACCCGGCCATCAATTGTGGCTCCGGCAAGCATCCCAATTTTGCAAGGGTGTGCATCAAAGCAGTATGAGATTTCTGGGATCCGCATAGTTGTTATTGTACTTTTTTTTGCTGCAGAGATCACATCAAGCCCTCTTTCGAGATTGCCCACGAAGATGTATGAATCGTCCCAACCCCATATAGCTCTATGTTCCCAAATAAAAAGCAGCTGTTAGAAGTTGATCTTTGTAGCATTGAACACAAGTTTAAGGTTGATAATGATCATGTCAAAGGAAAAGCTAAGATTTTTTTTTTTTTTAATTTTATTTGATTGGCAACAAAAGGAATTTTATTAATAAGAAGAAAATTTCTCATTTGTAAAGAGCATGAATGACTTTTATCAACTAATCCTATTTTGAATACATAACTTTATGCTTTCAAACCATAACCATACAAAACATCTAAACAGTCTCCCAGCTAGAATGCTCAAAAGGAAATGAAAACAGATGAAAAGGATGTGTAAATTCTTCGCAAGGCCACAAGCTTCAACTCAAATAACAATAATAATAAATAAATAAATGCAATTGTCAAACTAGCCCTAAGGCAGGCACCGTAAGTAGGTAAGGGCCTCAATGACGAGGCGTGCCTTAATCAATTTATCATAGCACATTTAGTTACTTTACTTTTCACCCTTCCCAATTTAAGCCATGCCCATGCCTATTTCACCAGCCAATATAAATATAAGAGTCACTATATTCAATTCAGTGACATAAACCAACAAAAAGCCAAACTGTAAAAAGCATGCTTCCACATCTCACACCACAAAATAGGTAGTACTAGTACCTAACAATGGTGGCAAATGGCAATTCATAAACGTTTTTCACTCATACAACTCCCACTACTAGAAGGTTATTTCTGCTCCTATTTTCTCATATGGATTATTCCAAGTTAAAAGGTTGGCTTTTCAGTGTGTGCATGGGTACATCAAGGATCTTAACCAATCCAACTGGACCCAATTAAACATTGTCAACATTGTAGTTTCATATTTAACCTTTTGTCAAGGACTAAATAAAATTAAAAACATACACCCATTGTAGTCCACATTGGATGGGGGGGTCTAGAACGGGTAGATTGTGTACAGATTTGGTATTATTGTATAAATTGATTGCCCTCAAGTTCAAACCCACTACCTCAAGGTTAATAGGTCAAGTTTTAACCTTATGACAAGAATTAAGGTGTGAAAAACATTCGAATTACAAGGAATTTGAGTCTCATAATATATATATATATATATAGATTCTAGAAAAGGACAACAGATAACCATTCAGATTGAATAAAATAAAAATTTTGGGGAGGAAAAAATGAAAAGAAGTTATGCCAAAACAAGAGTATCAGATGTAATGCAACTCTGAATGTTCCTAGTACACAGTACACTTGCTATGAGCATGTGGGAAAGTGAATGTTTGACAAACATCAGAAATCTTCTTCATAAATTAAAAAATAGGAAACATCACTTATTTTAAGGGTAAAAAGTTGCTCAACAGAAGCTAATTACATCACCATGTAATAACCTTGTAAAAGACATACCTGCAAACTAAAAATAGTGAGCTTGTTTTATTACGATGGCATATCGTAGATACATCCTCATAATTAGTTCCACTTAGTAATCCAATGTTGTCAGTACTGCATGAAGAGATTGAAAAATTAGAGATAAAGAAGAGTGAGCCACCAAACTGAAGGCCACATTGATGTAATGGCCAGCATTTGGCGCAATATGCAAGATACTTTGGGAACAACAAACAGAATTTGCACATACAACCGGCATACTCTATACTCGAGGAATTGCTAATTCTGATATTTCATGATAAGAACATCCCTAACTCTGAAATCCAACCCTACTGAACATGGTAGTCAAGTGAAGTGAGGATATAACCAAAAAGCAAACATAAAACATTTAAAAGTATCCGTCCATGCTGTTATTAGTTATGGTTGTTGAATTTAGTAATCACGATTTGCTTATCTTGGAAAAAGAAAAAAAAAAATGTAACGTGATTTCATCTATATTCCTTCACATTTGTTGTTTATATATATCCAATTTCAAAACTTTTAAGATGAAACAACCTAAAGGACATACCACTATGACAACTTCAAGAAAAAGACCGTGCACATTTAATCTAGTATCTACTTGTCAAAAGGAAAGGAAAAAAAAAAATTAAAAATCCAACTTAAAATTGAATGTCCCAAGTGCTGGCAAACTTACATGCTTCAGAAAAATATACAAAAATAAATGATAATCCCTCAACAAAAGACAAATCCAGTTGGCTAAGTGTTACGTTAGCTTTCAAAATCAAACAAAACCCAAAATAAATAAAAAGTAGTGTAATGTCCTCATCAAGCATTGTTTCCTTCAACATTTTGAATAAGAGTGAACTAAGACATGATGCAATCATACAACAATGCTTACCCTGTTGTTAGAAGACAACTTCCAGAGGGTGAGAAGTAAGCAGAATACAAAGCTTTTTCATGGCGAACAGACTTCAAAGGTTTAGGCTTCTCTGCATTAATACTTCTCAGATCCCAAATGCATGCAGTTCCATCTGTTGAACTTGTAGCCATGATATTAGTGTTATTTGCATTAAAATCTATTGACTTGATACCATCTTCATGCAAAATCAATGAGATTGATGGTTTTCCTTCCCTTTCATCCCAAATTTTGAGTCGTCCATGACCCTCGCTAAAATATATAGACCCGACATCATTTGTCCTTTGAGAAATAGACAGTACAGCATAGTCACTTGAATATACCGGACTAAATTCCTCCTTCTCAACATCCATTAAACGAATAAATCCATCAAAGCTGCTTGTATATATCTGACAAATTTGCAAGCATGGCTTAGTTGTAAATAGAAAACAACATAGCAAATCAACCCACTACAGTTAATAATATATCTTTGCCAGGAAGGAAGTATATTAATACAAAACCCAAGCTAAGAGGCGTGTATAACTTTGTTACATACTATCCATTCAGTCCCTTCTAGCAAAATGAGAGAAATTACCACTGCCTCGTCAATTAATCATTTAATAAAATGAATGAGATTAGCACCTGGCTAGAAGGGAATAAGATAATTCACATACTTTATTTATGTGTTTATATGATCAAAATCATAGATTTCAAATATGGCCTGATATTTGAAGTGCCCACTAATGAGTAATAGAACATAATACTTCCCAGTAATACAGCAATTCCTTAAAAAAAAAAAAAAAGACTTTTCACAGTAATTACATATGAGAAGCAATAAACAGATGACAAATTAAGTTGAGATCGATGCGACTTTATAGAGCTTCCTAGGGTAGAAGAGAAGAGTGTGTCACTTCCTGAATAGAGAAGGCACTCAAACACAAACATCAACTCTTCATTTATCAATTAAAAAAGCAATCTTAAAAAATCAAAGGTCTACAAAGACAGTAGTACCTTTGAAATGGAAAACGGTTGAACCGAAATTCCTGAAATGAAACCCGAATGAGGTTGGTACAAATAAATTCCACCCTTATCATCATCCTCATTTTTAACATCAACATTCCAAAATCCAACACTACCCAAACTATCACCTGCCATAATTATTTTCTCATGCGGAGACGGTAAGAACCTCAAAACCATTACTCTCTCCGGCACAACCATCCGTACATTCTCTTCCATTTTGATTGACTTTGGATTTACAGAACCCCAAGCCCTAGTTGAGCACCCAGAATCCTCACTTTCAGGAGCCAAATTGTGAGAACCACCCCCAATTCCCTCTACCAAACCAGTCAAACTCCCATTCCTATAACTAAATTGAGTCTTTTTTGAAATACCCATTATGGTTTTAACAAAATTTTGATCTGAGACGCCGTTGATAAACACGTCCTTCATTTTAAGAGGACAGAGTTCGCGAGGCAGCTGCCAATTTGAGGTGTGTGATTTGCGGATCCTCCTTAGGTTTTTTAGGAAGCCGTGTTTGATCCCGGCGGCAGTGGAAGAATCAGGGGGCATTCCTCGGGCACGAATAGACCGCCGAACAGTGACTGGAGCTTTGTTTTCAGAACTGAGTTGGCGAGGTTTGGTCTGGACTCTGCAATTTCAGAGAGAGAGAGAAAAAGAGAGAGAGAGGGGTTAATGCATGAAATTAGGATGAGATTGTGTGGGTAGAGAGAGAGAGAGAAATGCCTTTGGCGTTTGGTTGAGGAGGAGAGTTGGTGCAGTGTGGAGTGGATGTTGAGAGAAGCCACCATTTTGCTGTTACGCTTGATGTTCTCGAGCCTCCTTCGCTCGTAATCGGTTAGTTCTTCAAGCGCCATTAGAGAGAGAGAGTGTGTGTGTTCCAGAAAGAGACTCGGAGGAGAGAGAGAGTTGCAGACAGATCGAGAGCGCCGTGTTTGGGGTTTCAGATGGCAAGCCGGAACCAAAGTTGGCGGGAATGATTGCAATTTAATAAATTAATTAATTAAATAACTAAAAAATGATTTAGAGATAGTTTGAGATTATCAAAATAAATGTATTTTTTAATTTTTTTATAAAAAAACATATAAGAATAATAGAAAAAGGATATATAATTTTTTATAAAAAAATATATAGAAATAATAGAAAAATGCTATAACTCAAAAAAAAAAAAATTTGATAAAAAAATATACACCTTTGTAACTCTCTCCAAACAATCCCTTAATTTGTAATTATTTATTCATAAGAACCAACATTTAGTGGTGTTACACACCAAAAACTATATTAATTAGTACACAAATTCATGTTATAACATTGTAACTTCAAAATTATAGACTTTACTAATTGATATACCAATTGATACATATAATTTTATTTTTATTGGTGAGACAAGTTTAAATGAAGTATATAATATGACCAAGAAAAAAATATATTAAGTCTTAGGAATTTAACATAATTATATTATATTCTCTTAAAATCTATTCATATTAAAATGTATGCTTCATCATATGTATCTTTGTATTTTCATATTATATACATAAATTTTAATCACTTTAACTTTATTAGTATAAATATCAATATAATTATATCAAAATTATGAAATTTATTATATTCCTTCAAATTTCAAAAAAAAAGTTAGTATAACTTACCCTTATTGTTATCATCTCACCATTATCGCTTCTATCACTCCCACTATTACCATTGGGGCAATATCAGAAGATTAACTTTTTAGTTTAGTTTTTTTTTTTTTTTTTTTACAAGCAAGTAAATACACAAGCAAGTAGAATAAAATATTTAACAATAGAAATTTGAAAATTAGCAACAAAATTTTATAACTTTCTTTTTTGTTAAAAAAATTCTATTTGGTACTAGCTAAATAATTTGCTTGTTTTTTGGTTTTCACTTTTCAGAAAATTATACTTTCTTGTTTTTCATATTTTTCAATTTTTACTGATTTTTTTTAATATTTTAAGAAATTTTTAAAATTTTTAGACACACTTAATATAAATACACATAAAAAATATAATTTTTATGAAAAAAATCTTTTAAAAATTCACTAAATATCAAAAATACCAAAAAAAAATGAGAATTCAATATATTTTTCGTATTTTTATATATTTATTAATTTTTTAAAATACTTTTTCATAATTTTTTTACTTTTCATACTTTTTAGATATATGCATCTAAAAAGATAAAAAAAAAATACTTAAAATTTTAAAAATATTTACTTAAAAAAAATGCAAAAATAAAAAAAATTAATTTTTAAAAAACTAAATCCCAAAAATTCAAACCAAACATAATTATTTCAAAAATAAGTGAGATCACTAAAAAAAAGAGCACTAATAGCTCTAAAGTGGTGTGGGTCCCACATTCACATGATAGGATGTTTTGCTATTGTGTGGTTTTTTTTTTCTTTTGAATTTCTATCACATTGGTAATCTATTAGTACTTTTAAATTAATAAGATGAATCATTGTTGTAATTATTTTACTATCACAACTGTCACAATCGTCCACTTCCACCATCTCCCCCCATTCATAGAAAATACCATCATTACATTATCACCATTATCATTACTACACCTTAGTTATCCTCCATCGAGAATTTACCGAAGTTGATTATTTCAATTTTACGGTGAGGTAGACTTATTATAGAATCAAATGTTTTCTTTGTCATATCTTAAAAAAAAGTTAATATTTTAGTTAAGTCACGTTATTTTATTTACGTCAGATCATCTTTTTATCACATCACTTTAAATTCAATTCATATTCAATTTATATTTCATAAAAGTCAAAAATACATTTATTTAGATCATCTTAAACTCAATGTGATGATCTAAATTATTTATTTTATATAATTAATTGAGAAAAATATTTATACAAAAAATTAAGTTCATCTAATATCGATTGGCATACTATTAAATTATTTTTATTTATACAACATAAATATTTTTAAGAATAAATTATTCATTTGTTAATATATATATATATATATATATAATTTGATCATATAATTACTTATGTCTAATCAATTTAATTTTTTATATACATATTATTATTGGCTTGCCATATAAAATCAACTATTTAAACCATTTAATCGACACAGCTTAATCTCGCAAAGTCTCAACTTCAAACTTTAATAAATCCAAACTAATTTACATCAATATCACATCATCATCATAATATAAAAGTTACAATTATACTGCTATTAGCACTCTATCTATTATTTTAAGCCTCTTATTTTTTAGATTTTTTATTACAATAATAATCTCAAATGAAATTATTAACATGGACATCAATAATTTTAGGACACTCTATCTCACATTTAAGCCTGCACACTCACTACATCATGAGTTAGGGTTTATAAATATACCCACCTCCATCACTATCCATCTATCTTCTCTAAATTCCATATTTAAAACCTACCCATCCTAAAAATCTTAAAAAAATTTTGGCGGCAATATTCCGGCTGTAACGGTGGTAACCATTTGATTACCTACACTTCTCCGACAATGATAATGAGTGAAGTTTTTCCAACAACTACAACTCCATAAGATAAGAAGAGTACAACAATAAAACTCAGAAGATGTTCATAGCTTTGATAGTGTTCTTAAATCAGAGAATATTGGCATTGTAAGGATAAGTTACTTGAAAAAAATGACAAAAATAATAAAAATTATTCGTCATTTTTTTCGAGATTAAACTCCCGAATATATGACCGAAATTCGAGAACATAGGGCCGAACATTGTTTATTTGTTCGGTAATAGATAACCGAACATTTCTTATTTATTCGAGAACAAATAATCGAACATTATTAATGAACCTTTTTTCAAACTTTAAAATCACAAAACCTAGATAAATATAAAGAACAATAATTGAAACTGTCAGAGAATTCAAAGAAACCCACCTGAGATATCACAAATTCAAATTCGTGGAGATCGTAAAACCCACAAAAGAGAAATTTTGAATCTACAATAAAAAAATCCTACATTTATTTTCTCAAATCATAAACAAGTTTGTGAAGATGAAGTAAAAATCACCATCACGTGTTTTGTTAGGATTTTTAGAAGAGAGGTTTTTTAAGGTGCAGGGGTGTACATTCAATTGAATGTATAGAATATTTTCACAAGGATAATTTTAATATTGTTTGACGAGAGAAAAGAAATTTTAAGAATTTTAAAATTTATAACTAAAAGTCTAAAAAAATAAAAGATCTAAAATAATTAATGGGTGCTAATAGTAACCCTCTTGTTGATGGAAGGTGACTATATCCAAACAGATTGGATTCTTTGCAAGTGTAAATTTAAACTTGACTCGTAATGTTCGGGTCGTAAGACTCATTATAAATTATATTTTGACAAATAAATTATTTATTTTGTAAGGTGTATATTATTTATAAAAAAAAAATAAATAAAATTGATTCAATAATTTTAACATTTTTATTTTGTCACACTTTTCTTCTAAAAGTAGACAACATGTGTTTTTTAAAAATCAACTATTCATTTTTTTAAGAGAGAAATCTGAAAAAATGAATTTTTTTTTACAATTATTAAATCAATCTAATGGTTTTCAGGAATAACATATATGAAATACTTTACAAATATAAATATTTTAGATTATCTGTGATGAGCTCTATAAAGCCGAACATGATGGTCCTGATTGTTTGGAAACTTCTAAATAAGTCACATTTTTATTTATTTATTTTTAGTAACATTTTTTTTTTAAAATCAAGTCAATTTTTTTTTTCTCGTGTTTCTTGGGTTGATAAATCTAAAAAAATAAAAAAAGATATACATGTGGGTCCTAATAGGTGGATTTATTATCCAATAGGTTCTATGATAATAAATGACATTTTTCATCAAACACTATTAAAAAACATCACTAATTGTTAATTTCAGTGATAATTTGAAAACTATCAAAAAAATGTCACTAATTATAAGTTCTAGCGATAGTTTAAAAAAAATTCACAAAGAATACTAATTTTTAACTTTTAACGATAGCTTGAAAAATTCGTCACAGAAAAACGTTACTAATTGTAAATTTTGACAACAATTTATAAAAATCGTAAATTATTTTTAGTGACGATTTTACTATAAATTATTTTCAATAGGATTTGATGGGAATTAAATTCAATTATTAGGACTTGTTGGTAGTTTACCAAAAGTAAATTGTTTTTTAAATTTTTCAAGAATATTAAAAAGTCAAAATACTATTTTTTTACTTATTATTATTATTATTATTATTATTATTATTATTCAATTCATGTAGTTGGTGGAATTTAAATTTTTTTTATAAAAAAAATTATTTAAAAAAAGAGGGGGAAATTAAACGACAATGGTGACTTCACAAAAATATTACATCACAAATTTATAAAAAAAAAAAAAAAATCTTAAAAACTCTATCTTACATTTTATTCACATTTTCCTTTCCCTTTGCAAATTTCTATCCAAATCCATGATCCAAACAAGGGAGAGAATTGGGATAATGATTGCAATAAGGTTGAAGAAGAAGTCTCAGGTTAGAACGTTGGAGTGGGATTGTATGAGAGAAAATTGTGCCTCTCAGTAGGCCCACCCTAGACCCTTTTTTATAAGTTGAATGATTCATTTTATAAAGCTTGTCAAACAGGCCAAAAAAACAGATTGATTGTATATCAAATTTATATTTTGATTTTCGTATTTGTAATTTAAAAAAAAAAAAAAAAAACTCCAAACAAACAACAAACGTTAAGAGAAAGCTCAACCCTATCCAAACATAGCAGCTCAAAGCCAGTAGAAGATGATCAACAGAGCATAGCACCGGTAATCCAGATGATGATTAAGCCGGCGATCAATCTCCCAAACCCTAACCCTAGATTTATTGCATGGAAATTGAAATCTCCGGCGACACTTGGTCGTAAGCACATCATAGGAATGCTTTCTTCTTCTTCTTCTTCTTCTTCTTCTTCTTCTTCTTCAGTTGGATCCTCCTCTTCTCTCTCACAACGACCCCTCAGGTGGCCCTTTCCCTCTATTTGCATATATGTATTCGTTTCGTTATTTGTGAATGAATATTATCAGCTTAATGTGATCATTACTGGTTATTATGTATATATGTAGTAGATATGCAGTGCTTGGAGCTGGTTTTGCTGGTTTGTCTGTGGCTTGGCATTTGTTGCATTGCAGGTATATCACTTTACCCTTTTGGGAAAATTGGAGAAAATACAGTAATTAGGTCTGGCATAAGTATACTAACTGACTTCTCTTTTCATAAGTCTAAAGGGACGGGAACTAATATATATGGTGTAGAAACACAAAGATAAATAAGATAAAATATACATTTTAGTATAAAAAGATATGGTAACATCATTTTTTCATCAAAGAGTACTAATGAATTATTAATGAAAAGGTGACTAAGTGTTAAAACTATGAGACTTATTATATTTTTTTTTCCAAATCTCATGAGTGGTCAATGTAATTTACCCTTTATATATAGAGTTGGTCAGCTTTCAAAATCGTACATTTAAAGTCGTTAAAAGAAAATACGCCACTTTTATTCCTTTAAAAATGCGCATTTGACAGTTGTTTTTGTTTTGTTTTTTTTTTTGTTGTTGCAAATATTTGAAAGGCTTAAATATATGATTTTACACTTCAGTAATAAAATTGTATCAGTTAGTTTAAAAACAGGCATTTTAACAGTTTTCTAGGATCCAAATCTACGGTTTTAACCTCATCGCTAATAAAGCCTTTATATCGTAGGTGGTGGGCTAATAGTTTTGAATGTGTTTTGTGACGCATTACAATTTCACAGTGAAGGCATTTTTTTCCCACTAATAAAATTGCAAGATTATTTTGTTCACATCATTTCTGTAAATTTTGGCCGAAATGGAGATAATCTCTTCTCGAATTGAATATGTGATTGCACAAATTTTTGTGTGTCCTCGTTGCAATTGATGTTAGACAGTTTATTGCCTCAATCACGGTATGATATACAATTTTAGTTATGGGCACTACTTCCTTTGCAGCACAGTCATAAGGAATTGCCTTTGTGCGTTGACATTTATGATGAAGTTGGCATTGGTGGGGGTGCGTCTGGAGTGTCTGGTGGTCTCCTTCACCCATATTCCCCCAAAGGTTCCCATCTCTTTTTGTACCCAGAACAAATTTCTTAGCCTAATAGGCTTTTTAACATTTTTCCACCTTTTATGTTTTTTGATGATCCAGAGAGATACCCATATTCAAGACTGAATTCTCTGTGGTCTCTGTTCTGATTAGTCTGATTCTAGCAGTTAAGCTTCTTTGGCGGGGTGCAGAGTGCTGGACAGAGAGTTTAAAGCTTTTAAGCATTGCAGAAGCAGCAGCTGGCTCCAATGTTTTGGACTCAGAATGTGAAGAATTTGCTCAAAATTCTGATGGGTTCATAGTTAGGAGAAGGTTTGCTTCCTCTCTCTCGTATAGTTTTTCTTCTTTGAGTGTTATATGATGGCTGAGAAAGAGCAAAATAAGTTGCACCATGGTGCTTTTAATGGATTGGATTTATCTTCCAATACTTTTGAATGGTTTTAAAATTTAATGTTTTGAATTTATACCATTGTAGTATTTTTCAGTCATGAACAGCTATGACTCATGAATGCTGAGTTCTTGTTCTGTTTCTGAACTCGAGCATCAGGTGGTTGTGCATTCTCGTGTTGTATTTTCTTGTTCATGCATCGAGGATCTAGATAATCAGTTTAGACTCCTTTTGGGAGTTGGGTTTAATTTTTGTTTTCTGTACAACAATTAAGATGGAGTTTATTCACTTCAGAGGCATTCTGAGACCAGCTGTCAGTTTGAAGAATTTCAATGTATTACATGATGTAAGTTCTTTCTAAAATTCCTATAAAACGATGTTGGCTTATGAAAAATTGAATTTGTAGTTATGTTGTTATATCTTCTTCTTTTTTTTGTTAGCAGAATGCTCAGAACTGCCTTGCCAGTTGCAGAATAGAGTCCATTGATAAGAATGCTGCCCAAAATCTTGTTCCCAATTTGTGTGTACCTTTGAACTCAGCCTTTTACATGCCTGAAGCAATAAATGTTCATCCTCAACGCTACCTTCAGGTCTGAAGAAACAGCTTCATAATTTCATTTTTACGAAGTTTTCTTTATTTCATTGGCATTTTTATTGGTTATTTTATCAGGCACTTTTTTTAGCATGTGAAGATCTGGCAAAAGACCTGTCAACTTCTGGTTTCAGAGCAAAAGATTTGCGCTTGCACAAGAAATCCATTAACAACCTTCTTGAATTAGCAGGTAAACCAATGTACTGTTGGTTTAGTTTCTTGTAGTTGCAGTCAGAACACACAAAAGTGGAATCAACTGCATAGCTTTTCTAGGTTCACTTTCACTCCAAACATGCTGCACATAATAATAATTTTCTCTTAATTCTGTTCTTTAAAAGGTGTTGTGTAAGCATGCTGCTACGAAGAATCAGCCACCTAAATGGGTCTGATTTTTTTTTGTTTTTTTTCTTCTTTAGGGGAGTACAGTGCAGTAATTGTTTGTCTAGGTTCCAGAGCACTGTTTCTTCCAGAACTCTCTGGGAAGCTTCCTCTAAGGACATGCAGAGGTGTCATTGCCCACCTGCAGCTGCCTGATGATATAAGGTAACAGCTATCATGTGCTTTGTGTATATTCCCATAAAAAACAAAAAAAAACATTGCATCTGGAGGCACATTTTCAGAAATGAAAAGATTCTATAATTCCCACATAGCATCTTGGTGATCATGTTGGAACAATATTTCAAGAAATCATCTGCCCATTTTTTGTTGTCATTTTTTGGTTGTGACTCCAATTTTTTGGGTATCCATATGTTTATATAGATCTTCATTCTTTCGCTTCACCTTTCTTGAATGGTGTGTTTCAGTGAAGATTATCCAGACCATAGCCCCTCGATCTTGTCAGATGCATGGCTTGCTATCCAAGGGCCTCGCAATCTATATTTGGGATCAACATGGGAATGGAATTCAAGAAATTATTCACCCGATGTCCCTTCAGAGGAAGCTTCAAAAGCCCTCCAAGAGCTTCTGCCCAAGGCATCTTCTATATATCCGGACATAAAGAATTGGACTTTCACTAGAGCAACTGCAGGCCTAAGGGCAATGCCACCACTCACTCCCCATGGATCGCTACCAGTTTTGGGTTGCCTAGATGATTATGTAGATGGGAATCACAGTTGTAAATACTGGTTATTTGGAGGGCTTGGTTCGAGGGGCCTGTTGTATCATGCTTGGCTTGGGAAACTTTTGGCACTAGCTGTACTTTCTTGTAATGAAGATTTGTTACCTTCTGAACTAACATCTTGGAGGAATAAGAAAGCACAATAATTACGTTAATTTCTTCATCTTTTAGCTTTAGCAATTGGATTTCGATGTCCTTTTATTGACAAAAGTGGAATTATATTTGTTCAACCTTAAACTAAAGTCGAAGTTATCTCTCACATCTTTGCTTCTCTTATCTAAGTTATATTTTTCCTTTGTTTAAACTCTAAAATCAGCTGAAATAGGAAGCAGATGGTTTGACAAGGTGAAAAGTCACACTCACAAAAAAAATCCTCGAAAGATCGGCATCATGGATACAAGGCAAGTTGCATAAAATATCCGCAAGAGGGCTTTCAAAACTAATGTCAATGATCATCTTACATCACAAAGATCACCACATACAATCTAATGATTAGTTCAAGGAAGGCCTTCTTGAAAATAGTTGACAATGCAAATACTGTCACCTACTTTCTACCCTAATTAGTCTTTGATAGTATAGACTAGCCTTGCTCAATAAGCAGCACTTTTTTTCAGATTTTCCTTGAGGAGTTGTCAACTCCAGAAACCTAAACTGAAAGTGCAGAACCTCAGTTCAATTGCTAAATGAGTGTTTAAGAAAAGAGGTTGAAGATAGAATGGATGATTATCATAATTAAACGAGACAATATGTACACATATAATAGCAACTATTCTTTTTTGTCCATACCATATATATGTTATGCTCTTTTTGACAAATTCTAATATTTTGTTACAACAAAAAGAATAGGATTGAAGAGAAAGTTACATTCTGCTCTATACTTGCATTTCTCGTACATTTTTATCAAATATTAACTCATTCAACCCACTTTAGCCTTAGACAGTGTAGTGTTGTTGGATAGTTTCAATGTCCAGCCCCTTCAGCTTGACCACTGATTCAACATGCCCTTTTAGTGTATGGAGCTCCCTTAACCTACAAAACCATAAAATGCCAGAACAACATGCACAAAAATTAAGCTTGCCCTGCTAATCAAACCTACTTAGACTACTAGTCATGTACGTACCTGACAACTTCAGCGCGCCTCTTAGCCTGCTCAGCAATCTCAGACAACTCATGGTGGCCCTTCTCGTTGAAGTGCTCTTGAGATTCTGAGGACTGGAGGCCATGAAGCGTACGTTGAGCCGTAGCCCATTGAGCTTCCCTCTCACCTTTACCATAATCCTTCTTGGTTGTGAAAGCAGTCTAGATTGTTTAAAAGAAAATGTTAAAAGTTGCAAAAATAAAAAAGAAGCTTTTGATAGTTATGGTGCTTTAGGAATTTGGTATTATCATGTTAACCTTGTTCTGGATCATGTTATCCCAGGCCTTGCCACTCAATGCGTAGCGGATGATAAACTTGAGGACATCAAGCGGGAAGTAGGTAATGACGCTGAAGATCCAGATGGCTCCAGCCCATCCCCATCCAATGCCTTTGATGCGAGCGAATTCCCAATTTGCATACACAGCAATGGCGGTAGCCACCTACATTGAGCAACACCCAAAATTGGAAAATGACTTTTGTGATCGAGTGCATCAAAAGAATCAGCAAAACCGTTTACAAAAACTGAACTTTAGAACTCTGGCATGACTTACAAACTGAGCTGCAATGAAGGCACAAACAAGCAACAGACCAGGGCGTTCAATGAAAGACCAGCTTCGTGACCTGGTCACGAAAATGAGTGCTTGACTCACAATACTCACTTGAAGGTACAGAGCAGCAGTGAGCTCATCTGTTTGGCCCCTGATTGATCTAACACCAAAAGTTTTCTGCCAATGGTAAATTTATTAGCATATGTTTTAAATTCAGTTTTATTAATCTAGTGTCAATGAACTTACTGAAAAGAAGTCGGTGTTGGCTGCGAGCCAGAAGAAGACTACAGTGATGATAGCAAGGTAAGTTCCAAGGACAATCCCAGTGGCGAAGATTTCCTTGAGCTTCCACGAGTCGGGCACTGGGGATGGCTTCACCCTGTCCTTAGAAATGGTCATGATGGTTCCATCATTTAAGATGGCAATGACAAGGACCATGAAAGGTGAGAAGTCAAACTTCCAGATCAAAGCTATGAGCATGAATCCCATCACAATACGGATTGTGATTGAAACAGCATAAATGGTGTAGTTCTTCATCCTTTGAAAGATGGCTCGACTTGTCAACACAGCACTCACAATCACGCTAAGTCCTGGCTCAGTCAAAACTATGTCAGATGCGCTTCTGGCTGCATCAGTTGCATCTGCCACAGCAATACCGATGTCTGCCCTCTTAAGTGCTGGGGCATCATTCACGCCATCTCCTGTCATTCCACAAATGTGCTTTCTCTCTTGCAACTTTTTGACAATCTCATACTTGTGCTCTGCATAACCCCAAGTTTACTTTAGTTGTTTTGTTACCCTACCCTAGCACTTTGCTATGTATCTTAGCTAATTTAATTTAAACATATTTACCAGGGAAGACTCCTGCAAAACCATCAGCCTTTTCAATGAGCTCTTCTACAGGCCAGAGATAGACTCATCCTTGCACTGGCCAAGAAGGGAGGATGAGGGATACATGTTGGTGCCCATGCCAAGTCTTCGACCAGTTTCTTTTCCTATGGCAAGTTGGTCACCAGTGATCATCTTAACATTGACACCAAGGTCGAGAGCCTTACGAATGGTCTCTGCACTGTCATGCCTAGGGGGGTCAAAGAGGGGCAAGAGGCCTACGAATTCCCATGGCTCACCAGTGCTCTCCTTGGTCTTCTCTGGGACCGTCTACAAACAAATCACTCAAATCAATTTTAGCTTTGTAGGATAATTTACACTTTATGTTACTACTTACGAATATGTAATAGATATTCGAGCAATAGAGACAAGCCAACTCACTTGTGTTGCAACACCCAGAGAACGAAGTCCACGGTTAGCAAAGTTGTCAATGATTTCATGGGCCTTTTTCCTGATATCTCCTTTGAGTTGGCAAAGATCAATGATCTGGTACAATGTTGATTTAGTCAAATATTGTTCAAGGAGTAATGTTATACAAATATGGAAAAATTGTATGGAAAATGATCTGGTACAATGCTGATTTAGCCAAATATTGTTCAAGGAGTAATCTTATACAAATAGAAAAATTGTATGGAAAATCAATATAGAATGACATTGAAAGTCTTAAAGAATTTCTACATAATTTTTTTGTACGTATAGACTTTTCCTTGCTTGAGTAGAGGATTGTCTTACTTGCTCGGGAGCACCCTTGCTACTTCTGTGCCAATTGCCATTAGAATCAATGTAGGTTATTGCAGTGCGCTTCTCCACCGGATTGAAGGGCAAGAAATGCACCTCTGTGATTCCCGCTCTTGCCTAAAATTCATGCAAGAAAGTAGCACAGAAAAACTCAATAACTTAGTCATAGACTGATATAAATTAGCAGAATTTACAGAATAATCTAGCCAAATACCTCCTTGGGGTCGCCCAACATCCCAACAATTGAGGCATCAATGGCATCCTGATTTTCAACCCTTGAAGCCCTAGCAGCAAACAAGACAACGGTGTCCTTATCCATGTTTTTTGGGAAAACCTGCAATCACAAGTACGCCACGATAATTTCCAAACTTTCTGTTTTTTACTTTTTTTTTGGTCATCATTTTAGTATAAAAACACAAAACTTCACACAGTAAAACAGCTCTGCATGATTACACTTCCATCTTTGCTTAGTAAATTATATAAACAACAATGCTAGGAATTTTTTTACCAAAGAATCTACCACACTCACATGGGTGTAGGTCCCACATGAGTGTAGGTTTCACACCCATGTGAGTGGTTTGGTAGATTTCTTGGTAATTTTGTTGGTATTCCTAGCATTTTTGTTATGCAAATTTGATTCAGATTACCAACCTCGATCATGTTTCTATCAACAGTGAGCTTGTTGAGTGTGAGGGTTCCTGTCTTGTCACTGCAAAGGACATCCATCCCCGCCATCTCTTCAATAGCAGTCATCCTCTTGGTAATGGCACCTTGTTGTGAAAGTCGGTGAGAGCCAATGGCCATTGTCACAGACAACACAGTTGGCATGGCAATTGGGATACCTCCGATAAGAAGTACCAACAGATTGTCAATACCTTCTCTGTACTTTCTGTGCTGGATTGGGTACATCACTACGATCTCAATCAACATACCCACAGCAATAGAGCAGATACAGAAGTTACCGATGGCAGTCAACACCTAAATCACCCCATTTAGCAAAGGTTACATGCTATTTTATGGATCACTAAATCAAATCATTTGTGTACAAGATGTGTAGCCACAAAAAAGTCACATAAATAATGTCCACACTCAATCCCTTCCGTGATTTTTTGTGTGTTTGTAGCAATGTTGTTCAAGATCATAATGAGGAACAATACCTTTTGGAAGTGACCCACTTGGTTTGTGCTGTCAACAAGGTGGGCAGCCTTGCCAAAGAAGGTGTGGACACCGGTGGCAATGACCACAGCCTCTATCTCACCTTGCTTGCAAGTGGAACCGGAAAACACTTCATCTCCAGGGTGCTTTGTCACAGGCAGGGACTCACCAGTTAGGGCTGACTGGTCAATCTTTAAGGGATCCCCTTCTAGGAGACGAGCATCCGCTGGGATGATATCACCCAACTTAACGCTAATCAAATCTCCCGGAACCAAGATTGATGCATCTTGCTCACTCCATTTTCCGTCTCTCAACACCTTCATGAAATTGAAACAATGAGCCACAATTTGAATTTAATAGCTCAAAAAGTAGATTTGGGCTTTAATTAGGATGAAGATCAATGTACCTTTGTTTTGGGAGCTAGACCAGCCATAAGGGCTGCAGCTGCATTGCCTGCATTGTTTTCTTCAATGAAACTAATGGTTGAGTTGATAATAAGCAGCACAACAATACCGACAAAGTCTTGCCAATCCGCAGGCTTGCCCTGCATTATTCAAGTTTGAGTAATGCTATATAAATAGAGAAATTATACAGAAAATAAATACAGAATGACATGGCAAGTATTGATTTTATTACTTAAAGTCGTATGAATTGTCAAAAAAAATTATTGCCATATCATTCTGGTCATAAGTTATG